GTAGAGTGTCAGTTTCTCTCACTCACCTCGCCACCAGTCAGTGTACGCCTCCTTGTCCATCCTGTTTTCGACTCCGTTCGCAGACTCCCATTCCCAGAGCTTCTGTGCGTCTCTCCTTGCCGAGCTGCTGTGGAGGCAGCCAGCCTCCGAGCGGCGGGAAACCCAAATCGCGGTTTCCAATGGCGCGGGGTCCAGCCTCCACACTGAGTCTTTTCTGTTCCTATTTTAGCGCCAGGACTGCATTCCAAGTTGGTTTCTCTCAGCCCAGTTCATTCCTGAGTCAGCAGAGCATGTCTCTACCGGCTCATGTCTCCTTAGTCCGCATCATTACTGACTTCTGAGCCGAGCCTTTCAGAGAGCCTCCGGTAGTTGCTGTTATCTGTCCGCCATGTTCTCCCGGAAGTCCCCAATCTGTAGTTTTATATAAAAAAGTATTGACTTGTCGATCACAGTGATGGAATGCACCTGAGGTCGGTGTTGGGTGAACTTGAAGAGGGCCTTAAGAGCCAGCAGTTGCTTTGTTAAAGGTTCATTTCTGACCATATGATCCAAGAGGAGCAAGTGCCATCATTTCAGGCCCCTTGTGACTGAGTCTTTAACTGATATAATATTCACATAATGTAAAGTCAACTGATTTAAAGTGGTCATTAGATTCAGTGCAGTTGGCACATTCAGTGTTGCACGACGGCTGCCGTCCGTCCATTCTGTACTCAGGAGCACCAGTGACCGCTGACCTGCCTTTCCTCCGCAGGACATTGCCTATGAACAAAGGCATAGGAGCCTTTTGTTTTGGCTGCTTGGACTTAGTGCCCTTTAGAGGCTGATGGGGGCCTAGCATTTAGCATGACACTCCTGACTTGACACAGGTTTAGCTACTGTTATGACTGCCGCTGCTGTCCACCTTCATTTCCGAGCTCCGGTTTGGATACCTTGTTTCATTTCTTCTTCCTCGGAGTAGGACTGCTAGGTCATGCATGTGATAGTAAAAGCTTTGGCCACCGGAGAAACCAATAAGCTGTTTTCTACAACATTTTATGGTCCTACCCATAGTGCAGCAGGATTGCAGTTTCTTCATCTGCTGGGGTTTTTGCTATTGTTGTTCGTTTAATAATGGGTCATTCTAGTGAGTGTGAAATTATAGTTAACCTTTAACTCATATAAGTTAATGTGTCGTACATTTCAACTAAAAGAAATATGTTTAAAGCTATAGCTACAAATGCAACATCCCTAGTTTTTCTGACCTACAGTTATTGTATACTGCACACATTGGATGTGTACAGACGCGTGACCTGATGCCAGCAAGCCCGTGACCAGAGTGAGGCAGTGGACACGATCACTTCCTGCCTGCAGGGAGGGCGGCTCAGCTTCATCCTCTGACCTAGGAAGGAGCAGAGCTTTGGTCCCAGCTGGCGTGAACCCGGGTCTACGCTTTGCACTCTATTCTGAGTGCCACCTTTCTGAAATGCAGGTGGCATCATCTTGTGGGCACTGAGAAAGGTGCGGTGCAGAGGCCTCTCGAGTGTCGTAAGAACTCCCTTCCTTTCCTCTTTTGCTCTTTTTACCCTTCCCCTTGCATCTTCCGCTACCCTGTGTGGTGATCTGCTGGAACCTTGTCCAGACCACCCGTTATCCATAGGGTGGTAACCATTTTCTGATTTCTTGGATCGCTGAGTCCTTTGATTATGTTCTTCTCTGCCAGGGGCCCCTGATTCTGCTGTCTGGAGTGGGCCCTTGCCTCGGAGCTGAGCACGGCATTCATAGTATCATAGTGTTGATCACGCCTCTCAACTCACACATGCTCTGTCTTCCAGTGTGAACTTGGCCTCAAGTGCGTAAGTCTCCCAAACCAGACTGTAGACCTTTGAGAACGGGGATTTTTGTTTTTTCTTTTTGTATATAAAGAGCTTATGATACAGTGTTCAGTACTTACTAGAGGCTCAACTTTTGAGGAACTGATTACTATAATGTGTTGCTTTCCCACAAGTGAGATTTCAATTTATTGTGCATAATCACATTAATCTGCTACATAAACTAAGTATTGCTTCACACAGGTTTATTTTAAGATTTTAGGTTCATTTTGCAAATTTGATGAAAGAATTTATTCCTAATAGATATCATGTGTGTTTCATTCTTGTATTTGAACATCAAAATACAACAGGTTTAGACTGTCTCCTTTCATGATGCTACATTTTTACAATACATGAATTATGATTTTATTTTGATTTTTTAAAAATCTTTTTGATTAATTTATTTGTCTCTGAGACAGCATCTCACTGTGTTGACCGGGATAGTGGCTAACCACTGGGCTTAAACAACCTTCCTGCCTCATTCAGCATTGGAGAAACTCTACTACTATTGTGCCTTCACCATACGTGGCTTTCTTTTGATTTTTAAATTAAAAATGTGTAGTTAGTAAAATGACATTTTTTAAAACTTTTCAGTTTGAATGTGCATTCTCATGTGAAAGTTTATAGGTCTGCATTAAGGGACAAGTTACACTTGAAAAAACTTCTGACTCTTCCAAAACAGCCAGGAGGGATGAGAGGACCTCCCCTGTGAGGATTCGGAGCAGCTTCGTGACTCCTTTGCTCATTTCTCTCACTCAGCCCTGCATTTGTCTCTGATTCTTGCTCATCTGTAGAGGTTCTTGGTCCCAGAACCGTGGGATGCAGCCTCCCTGGACCATGTTGTGTAATGTCTCCAGGTGCCGGGCCATTTTGCTCAGGAGAGTGAAATCAAAGATACTAGTTCAGTTTCTTATTTCTCTGAGAACAGGAAAAGGAATCCTCTGCATAGATGAAGAGCTGTCAGTCAGTGAGATTCCCTGCCAACGAGAGAAAGCAAGATCCAGGGAGGGTCAGGGTCAGGTGCTGCCCCTGTGTGTTCATTTAAACCTCCAGGTGTGAGCCTGAACACCTGTTTAAAGAACAGCTGCTTTTGAGTTTTTCTTCAAAAACTGTCATGATGTGTTCCCATTTTCAACTGTTTTTTTTTTCATGATTTCCTTTTATTTCTAGAAGCTTTTCATGTATAAGAAATTTTAGCTCTTTGCATATGACTAGGTTGGTTCAGTTCACTTCTTTAACACTGAGTAAAATGCACTTAGACTCAGGGACTGGGACAAATGTCAGACCCAAGGCACCTCTATGTGTTCCAGACAGAAGACCATTTTTGTCACCTGGAGGGGGTTCTCTCTTGCCCCTTTTGAAGTCTCTCTAACCACAGGCCTTCTAGACTAGTGGTCTTGTTATTTAAGAATTTTGAAGGCTTTGTTTTGTTTTTTGTCTTACATTGCTTCTAAAGAGAAACCAGCTATCACTCTTACTTTTGTACCCTTATTTGTAATCTTCCCCCATCTGTCTTTAATTTATGTAATAGATTTTCATGAATTTGATTAAGATGTGCCTGAGATTAGTTTCTTGTGTATATTTAATTTATTTTATTGTTTCCTAATCTGCAGGTTTATACTTTTCACCAAATTTGGGAAATTTTTGAATATTATTTCCTCAGATATTTTTCAGGTTCCTCTTTTCCATGCTGAGAGTCCAGTCATTCAGAAAAGAATGCTGGCTGTCCCACAGGTCACTGAGATTATTAATTTGTCCTTGTGTTTCACTCTGAAACAATCCTGTTATTGTGCCTTCTAGTCCACTAAAGCTCTGTATTACTGGGTCTGATTGATTGTTAAATCCATCCACAGGATTTTCCATCTCAGATCATGTATTTTTCAACTCTAAAGTTGCCATTTGAGCTCTTTTCTATTTCCCATTTCTCCTCTCCACATTTTCGTGTTCTTCTTTACATCCCTAAGCATCTTAACAGAAACTGTTCTGAAATTCCTGCTAGTTCCATCACCAGGCATTTCTGGGTTTATTTTTGTTGACTGATCTCCCTTCCTGGTGTGGCTGACGTTTTCCTGCTTCTTGACCGATGTGACTGTGATGTTGTTGAATGGATTTACCTTCCTTTAAAGAATATTTATTGGGGGTGGGTGGTTACTCATGAATCATTGTATTTCTGAGGATTTTAAGGAAGACAAATCCTTTTTAGGGGAGGTCCAGAGAAAGCCCTCCCTGAGCTGGGTCTGCTGGCCCTGAAGGATGCTCTCTAAGGGCTGTCATGCCTGTGAGCTCCTCTCCCAGCTCCTGCATTCCTCCAGGCTTGGTCACTGCTTCATCGGTGTCACCAAGGCACTGCGGGAGATTTCTGGAGCCCACTCTCACCCCCACTATTGCAAATTCTAGCTGCCTTATCTTCCTTGCATTTGTTTGTGTTTACTGGCAGTACTGTTTACCTTAAAACATGAAGTTGCACAAATAGTTCTTTAGAGCATGAAACTAAATGAATTGACACAGAAAATTGCTCTTAGCATTTCTAAGAGTACAGAAACAACTTCTGCCTCTCTGTGTGTAAGTTGCATGTAATGCCATGGTGTAAATATTGATTATGTGTAAGTAAAATGAGCCTGGAAAGGAAATGAAACTGGATGGCTCCTGGAACTGCTTTCCCCGCCACAATGGGCAGCCTCAAGCCTTCCGAGGAGGAGGAGGAGGAGGTGTCTCCGCCCTGATCCTTGTTCCCCAGCTCTTGGTAGCTCTATTCTGAGACCCCAGCTTTCGCCGGGTCCTCATCCTTGTTCAGCCCAGTGAGTGTGGCTCTCCTTAGCTGGCCCCTGGGCCTCACTCATCTGTCTTCACTCTGGGTCTCAGTCCTGTATGCCTGTCGTTCAGTGTCTGCAAAGAGGGATTTCATGCATTTTGTCCACTTTTCTGAAAGAACAATGTATTTTCTTTTAACCACTAATCCCATCTTGGTTGAAGGGAACGTTTTGAGATTCTACAATGGACATTTTCAGGGAAGATTTTATGATTATGTGTTTTTACATTCTGTTTAATTATTGAAGCTATTGATTCTGGTCCATGGTGCTTTCCCTCTTTCATATGGATTTAAGATATAAACTCTCCAAAACCCCACCACAGTGATGTCTCTTCTCATTAAAGGTTCTTTCCAGAGGGGAGGTTGTCCCTGTGAAGATCCTTGGCATCTTGGCTCTCCTTGATCAAGGTGAAACAGATTGGAAATTGATTGCTATCAATGCAAACGATCCTGAGGCCCACAAGTTTCACGGTAGGTCTGCAGCTGTCCAGTGCACTGCTGGTGTTCTTGTAACTGAAAAGATGCTCTTTTGGGTATTTGGGAGTTAAGTTCATGATTTGGGTTTATTCTCTTCCCACGGACTATGCAGGGCAGTCCAGTATGTGTTTTGTCAGGATCAGGTATGCTAGTAATATAGGGGAATGAAATACCCAGCCTACTAGATGTCTGGTAAGAGTATGTTCTATAAAGTCAGAGAATGAATTTTAGGAACAATGGAGGTTAAGAGTGGAATATATTTATTGAGAGAAAGAAAGCTTCTGTCTGAGGTTTGCCAGGGACTCTGTCTTTTCTAGGGATCATAAATGTCTGAAAATCTTTCTTTTGTGAGGGCGACGGCCAGCTTTTTCTAAAATAACTTTAAAAGAGCTAATGCAGTAAGTAGGCCAGAATAACTATATTTGAATCAGTATTTCTGTCACAGAGAAGGTAGTGATTGTCTGACAGTGTGAACAGGTTTAATTCCATACGGTATAGCAACTAACTGGAAGTTTTAAAAATTCCTGAGTTTTCTGTGCGTGTGTATAACGTAGTATTTTAGGGAACTTTCGTTTTCCACTTTATTAGTACTTAGAAATTTAAAAATTAAATTCCATCCTCCTGGTATCCACTACTTTAAGAAAAAGATACTGCTGTGTGGTACGATCAATGTAAAATTTTCCTCTCAAAGGAAATGACGAGGCCTGTTTTTGTCTTATACATGATTGTGCATATGTGTGTGTGTGTGTGTGTGTGTGTGTGTGTGCATGCACATGTATTGTAGTTAGGAGTTGTGCACAGAACAATTAGCATCAGGACATGGAGTTTATAATATTAATTTATAGTGGTTTATAATATTATTTTACAATGTTAACGGGAGTTAACACAAGAAAATGCAGGAAGTCTATCCGCAACACCAAAGACATAGAATATTTAGCTAAGGGCCTGAATCCCACAGCAGTGTCCCACATGAGTCCAGATGACAGTGCCTCCCATGAGTCCAACTGGAGGTCCAGAGCCCACAAGAAGGACTCATGCCAGTCTCTTTTATGGATCCGTGCCGGGAAGACCCAAGGGTCAGCAGTGGAAGCCAGAAAGTCTGTGCCAGTAGGATGAAGGAGCTGTGCTTATGGGATGAGGGTTCTACGCTGGAGCCGAGAAGTCACACTCACAACAAAGACCAGGGCTGTCCTGAAAAGCACCACAGGCATCCTCAGCGACACGGAGGCCCCGAGTTCCTCTGATGACAAGCACAGTCGGGTACATGCCAGGAAGCCAGTGTGACAAGTTCATCCTGGAGACCAAGCGGCACATGTCTTCCCTCGAGAGCCAGGAAGCAATGCTTGATGTGAGGACCAGAGCTTCTCCAAGAGAACCAACAGCTCAGACAGCAACACGCAGGAGAACCCACAATGCCTCAATGCAACGACGCATTAACGCCTTCCTTCTCTTTCACCAACCTCTCTATTTATGCTGGCAACTTTCCTCAGGTGGAGCATCTACATTCAGTGCCAGGCTGATGCAGTCCCGCTGGCGTTAAGTTACCACCAGTTCTTAATCCATAACGCCGTGTGAGTGTGGGTGCCTGCGTGTGTGCATTCTGTTCACTCTGTTGAGGTTCACTCAGTCGTGGTTCTTCTTGGAAGCTCTGGAGCTGCTTTCCTGTGAGGAAGGAAGCAGCCTCTTCCATGGCAGCTCTCGCACAGCACTCTCCTGTGGAGACCATTGCATCCGCCCAAATGTGTGGAGTTGATGTGGACGTGGCTGCAGCAGGGAGCAGACTCTGAAGACTTGTATTAGTCTGTGTTTGCCGTGCATTCTGATGGCTTTGGTCCGAGAGCCCTGGCCCTTGTACAGCACACCTTCATTGTTTTTGCTCCCCTTCTCCTCCCCTCCCTCTCGGCTCTCCGTCTGCTTCACGTGTGCAGGAACTGTTGGCTTTCTTTCCATTCCCTCTCCCTCCCCTCTTCCTTTCCCGTCCTTCCCACTGCCATTTGAGAAAGGTCTCCCTGCCTCGATTCTGTGTGCACTCTCACGCCCTCTGTCTTTCTGTCTCTCTCTCTTTGTCTCTCTGTGTGTGTGTGTGTGTGTGTGTGTATCTATAACTTATATCTGGCTGTATTTCTGTCTTTAACATTACTGGTTTTTTAAATCTCCATGTTTTACCTTCTGAAATACCAATAGTCACTGCACAAATCATTAAAAACTCTGAATATTTGAAGCCAGATTCCTTGGACTCCTGGGTAGGGACTGAGTGCTGGGCTCGTGAGGCGGTGGGAGGCCAGGTGTGCACTGTGGTTCAGGCTCACAGCTCTGGAGTAGCATCAAGTCCTGGAAGAGTTCAGAAGGCCCTGGCCACAGGAGATGACACCGCCTGGCTATGAAATAACCAGCCAGAGGTTTTTAAGAAGACGGAGGTGCTGGGACTTGTGTCCTGCCTCTCTTGGTTAAATTGCCGCCTTCCAGACTGTGGTGCTTTAGCAATTCACCAGGCTGCGGTTCGGCCGGTGGAACTTCCTGCAAGGCCTGAGGACTTCTATCCAGCATCAGGCGGTCAGGAGACAGTTTGGAGTTTGGGCCTAGAAGTTATTTCACCTTGCAGAGTCAGGAAGATTTCTTTTGTTGGGTCTTTAAATAAATGTAAAATATTTTCTGTTATCCTGAAGTTGCCTGCACAGTGACCCTACAGTTTTAAAAATAGAAGATTAAAAATGAAATTTGAGATCAGAATTATGTTGATGTGGGTAAATTCTGGATAAACAAGTTAGACCAGTAAGAGAGAATTATTTTAAATTAGACAATCGGGACTTTTTTAAGGCCATCATCACTTTTTTTATATGTTTCATATGTGTAGAATTTCAACACATTTTTAGGGAACCTTTAAAACCCAATAGAACTACAGAATTTCTTTTGCTGTCTTTCAGAGCAGGAATAAACATGTTGGGCTTAAATTTTCATGTTCTAGGTAAATACTTAGAGTGCCCCTGGGATTTTTTTTTTTCAAATAATTAATATGGCATTTGATTTTCTTCTTGGAACATAATTTAATTCCGTCATTTGGAAACAAAGGGGAAAGACAAAATGGCATGGTAATCTTCAGGGAAATATTGGTGGTGAGCTGCCTCGTTGGAAGGAACAGATGAGTTTGTGCCCTGGCCTGGGACAGGAGGTGACGTCCTGTGGTTGACCCTGACGCTGACATTTGCTTAGCATACTGCGTGCCTGGGAACCGGACCCCAGGCTTCCTTTGGAACTGTACGTTTGGTCTTCCTTCATTCTCAGCTGAGATGTGCTGCTTGTTCCCATTTTTTTTTCAGTCAGGGAGACTGAGGCAGCATGGGGGGAAGGCTGGGGACTTTCTAAAGTAGCACGTCAATCACTCATATCTTCATTTCTGCCCCCCTTTCCCCTCCTAAAACATACTGGGGTGGTCAGCCACGTCCGTTGCTTTCTGGGATGCTGTTTTCTCTTTAATAAACTTAGGCAACCATACGAGAATGATAATTGGCGATTTGGTGAGGGTAGGCTGTGATCTTTTTCCCTTTGATGTCATGAATAGTGTACCTCAAGAGGCTGGGAGTGGGGGCGTAGGGGCAGGGAGCAGGGAGGCAGTTGAGGTACAGGGGTGAGTTGCGGTATTGCACTATAATTAAGAACTAGATTGCTGGGAGTCTGTGGCCTCTTTTGGAATCTTGACCCCTTAGAATTGTTTAGGTGAGTCATATTCCCATTGTGTGGTGAGGAGTAGAGGAGGCCTAAGTTTAACCTCCTCCCCTGTGAGGACTTGTTTGTTGTCTGACCTTGGAGAACCACGCAACCTCCCAGGGCCTACTTCTCCAAAATGGTGGGCTTCGTCCTGAGGAAACCAAGCTTGGAGTTTCCCCTTCTCTGAGGTTGTGTTCTAGAAAACACTTATAACCTGTTACTTCCACTTAGTCTTCCTACATAAGTAGAAAGCTCTAAATTAGCTTCAGGGTTAGTACTGAGGGGACACAATTCCTTACCACCATTAGCACACTCTAGTTCTGCAGACGAATGGAGTTCACTGTGCTATCCCATAGAAACACAGTTTAAGTTCAGAGCTCGAGCTGGGTGTCCTGGGGACATCCCCCCATTGTAAAGAACTTTAGGGAAGTGATGGACCCAAAACTCCTTTGAGGTCTGTCAGACCCCAGCCTGTATCTCTAGCCACTTTGTTACACATTCTGCATCAAAATTAGAGTAGAGAAACATTGCAGTTTCTTCTATGTATGAAGTACTTACATGATTTTCATTTTATTGACCATGTGTGTTTCTTATAAACTTATAATGAATGTTTTTTTCCAATCCATCTTATTTCAAAGAGAAAAAAATAAAATTTCAAAACACTTCAATCAAGGGGCAACAATGGTACATGTATTGCACATTGTCATCCCCAAATCATTCACCCAGAGCACAAGACATCTGTTTACAATTGTCTGAACAATAGCAGTACTTTCTCTTCAGAGATCTCAGAGAAATCAGTAGTAAAAATATCTTAACAATTTTTATATACATACATACATAGTTTTACATACATACATATATGTACATTATGTTTTTGGAAAAATCTACCAATTCTTCTCTAAGATTGTTTTCTAATCCAATACCTGTAGACTGTCTACAGAGCTTCCTTGTTTGCCATCCTTGTGTTGAAAGGTTAATCTCTGCTATTTTTTTCTTGAGGTTAGTACATAGTTTAGTACTGTTTTGCCTTGGTAAGAGCATAAGTTGTGGAAAGGAGAAGAGGGAAGGGAAGAGGGAAGGGAAGTGCAGGCCCCATGACAGTGCTGTTCATAGCCCTTCTGCAGTGAGCCCAGACATGCAGAACATTCTGGAAAACGTGGACATCCTTAGAGCATCTCAGCCGTTAAGAAAACTAAGTCTCTCAGCATGAATTGTACTGCAAAAAAATACAGTGAATGTTTTGGAATGAAACGGTGTTTCCTGTGAATATTTGTAAGGAGACATTAAAAACATGCCTTGTTGCCTCTGTCAGCTTGTTTGGAGAGGCGGGTTGTGCCCATGGTTGGCGCCGTGTGAGCAGCAGGGAACTTGAGCGAGGGTTCTGTGGGTACCTCCCATAGAACTGTTACCTCCCTCTTCATTTCTCCTTTTTTAACTCCCTTTATTTTTTTTTTACTGTTTAAATAATAAAGATAGATGTTATTTATGTTATTGATTTATATATAAAAATGAAAAGTGCTCACCTGAGTCTATGCCTTCCTTGCCTTCTGTTGTGGTTGGTAATCAGTCTTAATCCGACAGAGCAGAGCTCTTCCTGCTGCTCTCTGTGGAAGTCCAGGTTGTTCTCGATTGTGGAAACGGATGGTCAGGTGAGAGCTGTGAATCTGCGGTCTGCAGCCACCCTCCCTGGGAGCTCTGGTGCCTGGTGTGCCACACGTGCTCAGTGAAGTTTTTCTGAAATAGATGCGTGAATAAATGAATGTATGCATCTTTGACAAAAATGTACATCTGAGCAAAGTCTGAAAATGTCTTCAAAGTGGAAGCACTTTGATTTTTTGTTGTTGTTTTGGTACTAGGCATCAAACTTAAGACCTTGCACTTGCCAGGCAAGCACTTCGCCTCTGAGCTGAATCCCTGGCCAAACACTATGCTTATTTTAAAGGACAAAAACACTCATTTGTCCTTGAGACACTGGCCCTTTAACAATAACAGTTGTTTCTTTAGAGCCACATGCCCAGAGTTCATTTTTGTAGTGGGACTTTCTAACCTCGTCGTTGCTAGCATCAGAAATCTTTCTTAGTTAAGCTGCTCACAGTCTGACAGGTCCGGCCCTCTGCCACCAGATTCTCGTATTGAGCTTAGCGCCAGCTTTCTAGTGATCTCTTCTCCCTCCGGTTGCCTGAAACTCTTCTGTCTTCCTTCTCTGTTGAACCAGTGGTGACATTTTTCTGCACCAATCTCCTTCTCTTCTACACTGTGCATCAGACATAACTGACTCTCAACACAATTCGTCTTAAAAGGAAAGAAGAAAACCTGACTTCTTCACAGGGAAGTCTAATCGTGTACCTTGGGCAAAGTCTGCCAGTCACCCCACCTGTTCTTCTGGGGACCGGCCCTGTTATTCTGAAGTGTGTCACGGGTCGCCATCCCCCTGGTGCCAGACTCTGTCTCGGTGGTTTTGCTGATGTGTTTCCTCTTCTCTGAAGTGCGCTCGTCTGCCTGGCAGCACCTGCTTCTCCTTGGTGGCCCAGGAGAAATGTCATCCTTCAAGCTGCCGTCTTTGGCTCTGAAAGGTGGTAATGGTTGCTAATCACTTCTGCTTGGGTTCTGTGAAATGTCTTTGGTTTCACATATTTGTGGTATATTTGTTTCCTTCATACCACCTATGTAGGCTTTGAAGTCTTTCAGGACTGAGCTGTCTGTCCCAGAGTTTTTCACAGTGAACTTTCTGGTTTACACACATCCCGTCTGAAGTATACTGAGGAGTGTTGGCAGCTATGGGTAGTTGTCTGATGACTGTCACAGTCACTGTATTGAGCATTCCTGTCACCTCCTGGTTCCCAGTCAGTCTTCTCCTTCTATCCCAGGTCCCTGGCAAACACTGGTCACATTCCTGCGACCATAGCTGTGCCCGTTTACTTTCCTACCCGTGGAGTCAGGAGGCAGCAGTCTGTTCCCAGGGCCTCGGGGCTGAGGTGCAATCTTTTGCACGTGGCTGCTTGTGCTCAAGGATGCACTGGCGGTTCATGACTTCATTGGTGATAACATTCCACAGTGAAGCCCAGCAGTCTCACCCCTGGTGCAAATTCAGTTTTCTGATAATTAGATAATATAAGTGAAATGTTATGAACATTACAAGTCTTTGTGAGAATATATTTTTGTTCCCCATGATGGTTTGAATATATTACCATGTATAATCATAGAAACATTGACTTTTCCCGCCTCCATTTTGGAGATAAAGAAGAACAGTTACTTTCCCAATATAATACAACATGTGAGTGCCAGGACAGAAATTTGAACTTAAGCTGTCCAACTCCACACTGCTGTCTTTCGTTTGTTCTTATAAACTCCCTGTGTCCTGTCATTATTTTCTGAATATTCTTACTTTCCATTTTTGTTGTACCAAAACTTGCTCATTTAATAATTTTTTTCTTGCTTGTTTTTAATATTTTAATTATATAACAAATTAAGGGCCTAACTGTAGTTCTTTTTGGTAGGTAAGAAAGTGCTTAAATTTTTTTATTATTAGTTTTTAAATTTACTTGACTTAACAAAATTTGTTGTAGAGTGTATTGTCTTAATTTCATGTTTAAAATTTCTTCATGTTTTCTTAGGTTTTAATAAATAATCACTTTTAAAGGTCATTTGTGTCCTAATCTATTTCCAGGTTCACAGATTTCGTGAGCATTATTTATGGGATGTGTTTATGAGATGGATGTTAGTTTGTATTTTTCAAATAATTTCTGTCACTTTTATTTGGTTATTTTGGCAAAAAAGTAGCATTTTTAATAATTCTGAAGTTTAAATAATACTGAAGTTTCAATAAATACAATTATAAACTTCTGGAATATGAAAGTATATTTTTGGATAAAAATACTAGAATTTCCTTATTCACGAAAGATATTTTTGCAGGCTTTCTTTTTTGTTTGTCTGTTTGTTTCTTTCTTTTTTTCCTTTGCTTTGATTTACATAGTGAATTGCAATTGCTGACATTTTGCTAGTTTTGGATTTTTTGTTTTTGTTTTTTGAGACAGCATCTCTCTCTATCGCACAGGCTGTCCTTGAACCCGCTATGTAGCCCAGGCCAACCTCATCACAGCCATCCTCCTGCTTCAGCCTCCCACGTGCTGGGATTACAGGCATAGGACACTATACCCGGCTTTTTTGTTAGATTTTTAGAAATGTGGAATTGGTTACATTTCTCTTATGTCTATGGAAATAGAATGGTAACTTTTGATTAAGACATTTCAAATTAATTTCACTTTTGTAGAAATATGAACTTAGTTAAAAAAATTAAAAAGAGAACTTCAGATTTAGAAAACCATGTTAAGTTTTAAGATGTGCCTGATACTCTGTTGTTATTATTGTTTGACGGTTTTTAACGAGGTCTCCTGAAGAAGCTTCCCTTGGAGGTTTTGACGCTCCTGTGCCTGCAGCACCCAGGGGGTCCGCTCGCCCAGCAGCTGCCGCCCCTCCCCGTCCCTCTCTGTCCCTTCCATCTCTCAGTCCCCTTCCCACTAGCAAGAGCTCTATTTCCACTTTTTTCAATTGTTTTTTCCCCATCCCTGGCTTTCCATCCTGCTGTCTGTCACTCTGTCTTGTTTAATATTATCATTCCTACATATGTGCTGTGACTTAAAAAAGACACCATTGTATCTAACCTTTTTTAAAAAAACATGCCATAGCACATTATCATTAGTCCTCTCTGGAAATCCTCCGCCTCGCTTCCTCCTCCTGGCCCCTGGAAGCAGTGCTGGCGTCCTCCTCCCTTCCTGCCTGCCTCTGTGTCCTGAATCACTCATGACCCTGACCTGTCGCTGTCACTTGGACTGTGGGGAGGAGCCGGCACTACACGGTGCCAGGTGCTGTGAGCGAGGCTGACGGGGACACTGCAGGAGCCTCCTTCCTGTTGCGTGGCCCTGGATAGCAGCTGTCCTTGTATGTTGACCACAGCCCATGGAGACACTGAGGAAGGAGGACGCAGAGCTGCTGCGGGACGGGCACACACAGAGTGAGCGGGAGGATTTGCATGGATATCAGCGACAGCCTGTCTTTCATTCAATCTGAATTTTTCAGTGCAAACAGTTACAACGTAGCTGTCATATGCCTGTGTCTCTGGTCCGCTGGTGGTCTGTCTGTCGGTGGTGGCTTCCATGTGAACACACAAGTCCCAGGTGACACTGCAGGTGTCCGCTGCCTCACTGCCAGCATGTAGAACCACCTGAGTGCTGGCTCAGCTGGCCTGGCTCCCCAGGTCAGGACTCTACCCTGGAGGGAAAAGAATTTTGTGTTTTAACAAACTATGTTTTTGTTTCTTCCCTCACAGATATTGACGATGTTGAAAAGTTCAAGCCAGGGTACCTGGAGGCCACCATCCATTGGTTAAAATTTTATAAGGTGCCAGAGGGGAAGCCACAAAACTGCTTCTTTTACGATGGAAAATTTAAAGACAAGGTAATTACGAGGCTCCATTTTCCAGGGCCCCACTCCCTGTTTCCTTTGGGCAAGTTCTTGTGTGAATATTTCACTATTTGGCATCAGGAAAAAATTGATTTTTGCTGACATACATATTTAAAGACATTGTTTTATCATTTAAAAATTTGGGAGCAAGGATGTTTGCTCATGCCTGCAATCCTGGCACTCAGGAGACTGAAGCAGGAGGATCACTGGGAATTGGAGGCCAGCCTGGGCTACAAAGTGAGTTCAAGGCCAGCTTGATCTACATAGTGAAAGTCTCCCTTAAAAAGATAAAAAAAAAAACCAGAAAACAAAAACAAAACAAAAAACCCAAAGAAACAGAAACAAAACTGGCTGGTGGGATCTAGTGAATCAACAAAACTGAAAAATAATCTGTTTCTCTCATCTATGAATAATAATTCCTTCTACTTATAAAATGGAAGAATTCTGTGATCAGTTAACTCCACAAATTATAGATGTAGAAAACTCTCCATTTGCTAAGTTGAGGGGGAGAAAGTTACCCTTACTGTAAATTGTTAGGACTTTTCTCCTAAACATTCCCCTGCAAGGCTGATCTTACCCACTTCACAATTCCAAATACACTTGGATTCTTTTTTTTTTTTTTTTGGTACTGGGGATCAACTCATGACCCCAAGCTTGCCAGGCAAGTGCTTACGCCATTGAGCTAAATCTCTGGCTCCAGAAAACACTTGAATTGTCTCACTGGTCAAAGATTTCTCTATCAGATGACCACAGCTACCATAAAGGATCTCTAATAAGATGCAGATGGGAAAACAGGCCAAAGAGTCAACATTTAAAATGATGGACCATCTCAAGAAAATCATTCCCACTAAGTAAATTGCAGATTTAAAAACTTAAAAATCACAGTATTTTGCCATATAGGAGTTGATTTTTGGGCCCAGTATTTTTTGAAAAACATATTAAAGAACCTTGGGCCTATAGCTCAGGAGCATAAGTGCCTGTGCAAGTGCAAAGTATTGAGTTCAGTTCCCAGTACAAAAAAACCCCTTAATATTTTGCAGGCTTCATTCAGGATTGTTAGATGCAAATGTAAAACTTATTTTAGACTAGATTTTCTTAAAAATAAATTATTAGAAATTTATAGAATAAATTAAATTTTCTTCAAATTACATGTTTTATTTTATGTTTGAAATAACATATATTTCAAGGGACTGGGGATTTAGCTCTGCAGCATAAGGGCCTCCCTGGCAAGTGCAAGGTTGGGAGTTCAATCCCTGGTACCAAAAAAAAAAAAATGAAAGAAAACTAATAACATTTCAAACCTATATTGTACTTTCATGTACCCTTATTGACTCAGTCAGTCCAACAGTTATGGGTTGATGGAGTGAGCTGTCCTTTGTGTGTTGTTTGTTTTTGACAAACATGAATTCTTTTTCATAAGAAGGCAGGTCATTTTTATACTTCTGGAAATAATAATTTCACACATTGCTCTTTACCATTGTTGTTGAAAATACTGAGCCTCAGCTAAGAAAATGTAATCGTGCCTCTTTAAGGTGGTTGAAAACTGGTTCCCATCTTACAGTATGGAGTTTTCCTGTTCTCATGAGCAGTAACTATAATTAGTCCCCACTGCTGGACATTGGCTAAAAATCTCTTCCTGTGTCATCTAGAGAGTCAGTTGCTGTGCTGGCCCCATATCTTATGGGGGTTCCCTGAGGCCACCTGGCTGAGGTCCACCATCCTCTGTCCTCACAACCAGCAGACCTGGAGGCCAGCCACCTCTGCTGCCCGCTGCTAGCGTGTCTCGGCGCACAGGAGTCTTCATTTGCTTCATTAGAATATTGATTGTGCTTGAAGGGAAAGGAGGACTAGTTAAGCGGTTAATAAATAAAAACTCTCCTTAAAGAAAAGAGGCACGTCGAGGAAGAACACCGAAAGACTATTCTGCTCTGGGATGATCAAGCTTGTTAGACGTCTGTCTGCCAAGCTGTGTGTCTGTCCTTAATTATGCTTTGATAGACATCCTGTGATTTAGGACTGACAAAATGTGTGGGAAGCGTGAGGGAGACTTGCGGCTGGGACACGGTGGCAGGGCCACGGCACCTTGTGACTGGGCCGTAGCTGGGGCGGCAGTAAACAGGGACGTGCTCGCCTACACGGCAGTTACTAGCTCAAGCGCCGTGCAGACCAGATGGTTTTTATTCCTTCCGCAAGTCTGCGGTATCGATCAGGGACTGGCACGCTTTTCTTCTGCACTGGCCAGACGCTGGGCTTTAGAACCCCTCCACTCTGCTACTGTAGCGCAAAAGCAGCCAAAGGCTGAAAGTGGGCCTGACCCGCAGGGCCTCGGTACGGATGATCCCCGCACAGCCCATCACGCAGGTGAGGAAGCTGAGGCTCAGCGCAGTTAGGTGACTACCTGAGTCACACGGCAGATAAACAAGGGGCCCAGAGATTACACTCACGTGCACCCACTCCTAAGGGCTGCCCTTAACGATTAACTATCAGGATGACATTATTTCTGTGTTAATGCAAACGCATGACTGCTGAGTCTTATTTTGTTTGGAACCAGGCTTTTGCTCTTGACGTCATTAAATCTACTCACGATTGTTGGAAAGCGCTGCATATGAAGACGTGTGATGCAGGGCCCATAAACTGGTAAGAATCTGCCTTTTCAATGTGAGTTGTGTTATTTTATTATTGGTATTAAACAGCCGTCTAATCCTGCTCAGACCTCAGAGTTTTGTAAGGGACTTGGATTATTTCCCTGAGTAAGTAATTCCCGGCCGTCTGTCGGGGCTGTGACAGAGTGCCAGGCTCTGGGCTGTGGGAGTGGCATGGCCCTGTCCCAGGAGATCACGTTTTAGTGGGAAAAGTTCAGGGGTGAGAAGGTGCCTCACTGGACTCTGCTGTGATGGGCACCCCCTGTGGGGCTCCAAACAGCAGCTGGTCAGCAGGCAGATGTGTGGGTGTTCTATTGTCTAATAACTGTCAAGCTCCTTGCCAGGAACAAGAAAAGCCTTCTCATCCAACGCAATCTTCATCGTTAGCTGATTAACAGGAATCAAACAGTAGTGTGCATCACTTTTTACAACTGAATACTCAGGACTTCCACTAAAAGTATTTGGATACTTGGGACAAACTACACTATAAATAGTCACGTTCAAACGTACTTGGGCAATCTGTATTTATCTGCCGCTCCTGTCCAGAGCAGACCCCTCTGCCCTTCCTCACAATCGTTTTCCAGAATTTACAAGAAACATGTCTTGGTTTAGTTAAACTCTGAGAAGCATCATGTCCATAGTGTAGCCCTGCCTTTTCAGAGGACAGGCCCTAGGGCTTTGCAGGTCTAGGTTTCTGCCTGGTTCCTCTCTCTCTCCCTTCTCTTCCTCCTCCTGTTCCCCCTGCTCCTTTCTCTCGTCTCCTTCTTCCCCGTCTTCCTCCCCTTTCCCTGCCCTCTCTCACCCTCTCCTTTTCCGTCATTAGGGAGCATCTTCTATAGGGCCTACCTCTTTAAACTTTCAGTTTACTTAAAGATGAACCGTGGAGAAGAGACTACACTAAAGCCGTAAAGATGATAGCACTGACCTCCATCAGGCTTTCTTCATGCAGAATGAGAATAAGTCCCACGTCATGAGGACAGAACCCAAAGCAACCATTTCCTGTCACCATGTTCCTCAGTTACAGACAGATACAGTTTTAAAGGTAAATCAGCGAGCAGGCACAGTCTTTTTTGGTCACAGTTGTCCCAGTGTATTTCACAAAGCAATTATGAAAATAAATTGGATATGTATATGCCTTAAGGCCACTTGAGAGGGAAGTGTGTTTGTTTCTCTGATCATTTGTATCAGTTAGGAGATAATCACCGTTTGTAGCTTATTCCTTTCATGCTTTCATTCTCTTCTTTCTCACCTCTTGCTACCTCTATCCATTTTTACCTGCCAGTTTCTTTAATTTTTTTAACCCAGCACTGGATCTGCTTGGATCTAGGATCTGGGAGCATGCCTGTGTGCAAGGCATGCTGGGAGACAGGAAAGGCCCGGAGCCCTGGGCAAGGTTGGGGAGACTTTGTGCGGCTGCTCCTCCACTGCCCTGGGCGGCCTCCTCAGGAAACGAACTCTTGCGATCATGCAGCTTCCTCCTGTCTTCACCCCTCCATGTGTGCTGAGAGATTGCACAGTGTCTCACCCAGCCAAATAAAATGTGTCACCTACAGGAAAAGTTCTCCATATGGTCCCATTGCGTGGGTCAAATTTGATTCCTCTTTTCTTGACTAAAGGTGGAATATAGCTGTGGTATCTCTTTATGTACACCAGAAAGTAATTAGGGCTTGGATATTGTTTTAAAATCTTTAATATTCTAAGGGAGGCGATGCTGTTGTACATTCTATTTGTAGTTTTGCCTTGAACAATGTACAGTGGATGCACCTTGAGACCATGATGTAAAGTGACATAAATCAGACCCAGGCTTAAATGACACATGGTTTATTTTTATGTGAGAAGCCCAAGTTATAAATAAAAAGCAAAATAACTGACCAAAATTAGGAAGTGGGGAGAGAGATCTTTCCAAAACGGGAAGGGGAGCGAGGTGGGAGCGGGAAGAGAGGGGTGAGAAGGGGAGGAAGGTGCACTGTGTGGGTGCACAGACTCCACGCAGACGCGGACGTTATAAGGGTGGACCAATACAAATCAGTTAACGTTGGAAAGAAGGATGTACACTGATTTTAGTTGTCCTGATTTATGCACATTTAAGTCATGTTCCCTGTCCAGAGTTACCCAGTAGTGAGCACTATCGGAGTGCTCTTTTCTGCCAACCGCTCTCTCTTACTGTGTCCGATGATATTTTCTTTTCTTCTGCAGCACAAACTCCCAGGTGCATGACAGCCCTTTCCGTTGCACTCAGGAGGAAGCAAGAGCGATGGTTGAATCGGTAAGGAGCAAATATGCCTAAGGCATCTTCTAATCGCATAAATGACAGAAGTCCAGCAGAAATCTCGAAATGCTGAGCAGTGAATGTGTCGAGCCTTTTCGGGCAACATAAAGTCAAAAGCTAATGTTGAAATTCTTTTTTTTAATTCAGGGAATTTAAATTTTAAACTTTAGAGAGTCTGGATTTTTAAATTTTATTTTTAAAAGTATATTAACCATTTAATTTTATATGATGTCATTTTTCCTAATTAGATCAACTTATTGATAATGTATATGGTTGACCCGTGATCTAGCTCACCTGCCAGGCAAGCACAAGGTCCTGCGTCTGATTTCCTATACGAAAAACAAAAGGTTCCTGGTCTGCTCCATGCGGTGTCTGTCAGTCATCCAGTGTCTAAACTGGAACTGCCTCTTGGCACACATGCAGGTTTGGGCTCAAGAAAAATGAAACAGAGGAGATTCTTTCTGTTTTGTCTCCTTTCTGTTGAGCTCTCTCACCAGCTTTCCTTCCCACGGCACAGAAAAGTCCTAAGAATAGATTTCCACAGCTCCTCGTGGGGGTGCTGCAGAGAGGCCGCTGAATTTATCAGGAAATTAATACTTAATTTAGAGAACACTAAGAGAATTAATATTCAGGTAATTAAGTAATATTTCTCTGTAAAGTATGTTAGAGGGAAGTCCCACTTATAAATTAAGGGCTCTAAAACACAATTATGAGCTAGAAACTAGTGAGGTTTTGTTTTGTTTTTTTGTCTTTTTCATTTTTATCGGTACCAGGGATCAAACTCATGACCACCTGCTTGCAAGATAGGTGTTTATGCCACTGAGCTAAATCCCCAGCCCCGAAACTAGTGAGTTTAGATCTTTACTATGGGAATGGCTGAAGTGTTAGTTGCTCGCTGTGGTTGCTCTTGTTCTGTGGGGTGTTATCTCCACAGTAGCTCATCGGCTGGGTAAGAAAGGCCTGCTTGGGGGAGACATTGGTGTTAGGATGGATGCCACGTTGAAGGAGGGACCAGAGACCCCACGTTTGTGAGCTCACAGACGCGGGGAGGTGGATAATGAACAAACATGCAAGGAAAACTTAGGGCCTTCTCGCAGATCACAGACGTCATGATGGAAAATGAGCAGGAAGGAAGGGTCAGGTTCCACATCCAGGAGTGGCATCGGAGCTGCCGTGCTTAAAAAGCTGGCCCAGGCCTGGCTCCCCGGGAAGAGATGGCCACGGGGCTCTGGATTGGTGGGAAGAAGGGAGTGTGCGGGAGCACCGAGGGGCAGCATTCCCTGGCCTGGGGCTGGGAGCCCAAGGGTGCCACCTGGTCCACATCGCTGGAAAGCCGCGGCAGACTGCAGGGGCCCGTGGGTCAGGATGGACCCGAGGATGAGCAAGGGGATGTTTGGGGCTGGGATGGACGTGGACGCTCATTAGGAAGCCCCTGCGCACACTGCTTTGGGGACTCCTAAGGAGGCTGGGAACCAGCGGAGGGTATGAGTGATGGGGCGATGCGGCCTGCCCTGGATTTTAGCAAAGTTGTTCCCTAAAACAGTACAATCGCTGATAGCTGTGTCTCGGAAGCAGCAGTGTGTCTGTCACTGGCTGAACGGTAGAAAAAATGTGGTGTTCACACACACTATTCTGCCACGAAGAAGGGTACACCTGAGTCATCTGTAGGAAAAAGGATGCACTCGAGACCATAAAGTTGAGTGAAATAAATCAGACACTCAAGCTCCCATAGCACGTGGTCTGTCTTAGGGAGGAACCCAAAATATAACAAAATAAAAGGTAGGAAGTAGTGGGACAGATCTTTCTCACAGTGACAAACTCTGTATTCTTCAATTATACATGAACATGGGGTTAAGCTTGCAAATTTCCTTTCAAGAGGACCAGGAGATGGAGGGGAAGGGAGGGTTGATTCTATTTGGCTGCATTAATGAGTGATATAATAGGTTGTCATCTTCACATGGGAAATTGAAGCTTTAGTGTTTAGTCTTATTTTGACGGCTTTGTAGGAAGGCAGTGCTCTCGGGAAGGACTAACAAGAGGATGTGTGTGGCCCAGGTGGAGGAGGGGATGGGGGATTCGGAAGCACCGCCTCCTTTTGGCCAGGTTACTGGTTCACCATGAAGAAGGTGCTGTTGCAGAAATGCACAGGTTAGAGAACTGGGCCCCTCATCTCTAGCTCAGTGGAACTTAGCCGGTTTTCATGATTAAGTATCTGTAAGAATCGCCCTGTTAGTCAGAAACGGCCGCGCTCGTGAGTGACTGTTGGAGCTGGTGTCGCAGGCCCTGGATGCACAGAAGGGGTCAGAGCACAGCCAAGGGCAGCGTCCAGACCCGGAGAGCTGTTCACTCGGTGCCTGGCAGTACATGCAGAGAGATTCAGGAAAATACCGTCACTGTAACTAAGAAAGGTAAAAGCTGACAGTTTGGTTTCTATCACTAGACAGCGTCTTAGAAACAGTTAGAAAATACCTGCTAGAGTATTTTATCATACTTCCATTAGAGTCTCAAGAGAGTACATGTGGGGAAGACTTTAGAAGAATCGAAATGGAGAACATTATTGACGTGAATCAATAGGTGCTGAAATTGTGTCCGGTTGTGACAGTTAGGACTGCATCAAAGCAAGGTTTGTCAGTTAGGCCCAGCACCCACAGCGGGCATCAGCAAGGCAGAGCACCCCTGCTCGTCCTGTCCACCTCACCGCCCCAGCGCCTGGGTGGCCTGTACAAGGGTCCTAGTCACAGCCTGAGCTTCTTTGAAATTGTGCACTTGTTTTAAACATCTTTAATTTTATAACTAGAACATGAGGCCTGTCTGTAATGCTTGAGAACCGTATGACCAATAGTTAGAGCTTTATTCAGGGGAACAAGACTTAGAGAGAGCAGTAATAGGGAGCACAATGTGTCTATGTGTGTGTGTGTGTGTGTGTGTGTGTGTGTGTGTGTGTGTGTGTGTGTATACGCACGTGCAGGTGTGTGTACACACTTGTGGTTGCCTTTCAAACTATTCTGTATTTGTTCAATACAGTATATTTGACCTGTCTGCTCAGGTGGAAGATGCTATGTGTTGGACCTTTTATTTCATTCAAATGTCATTTTGAAAATATGTTGATAAGATTGAAGTGAAATTTGCAAGCTTACCCCCATGGTCATTTGTAATTAAAGAATACAGAGTTTGTCACTGGACATGCCCAGAAGTTGAGTATGTGTCAGAGTACAAGTAGTGTGTGAAATACTCCAAAAAGCAGTCATACAGACCACATTCTCTGTCTCTAATAGTTATTCATCAATCAAAAATACTAAAGCATAGATTTGAAATTTTAAAAATACCAGTAAGTTATACCTCAAAAACTAATTACAATAAACTCTGAAATAGTGTCAAAACTTGCACCATATAGCAAGAATAGTGCCTGAAAAAGTAAATGTATGCAATGGAAATGAAGAAAGAAAATGAAACATTCAGCTGTACCATTACTGCCCACCCCTCACTTTTCACGATAGAAGAAAGAAAATCAGGAGTGGATGGATGTTTAATAGAAAGCAACAAGTATCTCAGGATCGACTAAAACAAGAGCCCTGTTGTTTCAAAGCTAACAGGCAAACCTGGATGATAAAACACTAAAAACAGCCTTCAAAGGATTAATACATATTTGGTGGAAAAGCATAAAGAGCTAAAGATAGCATAAAATAAAGTAAAAAGAATCCATTGATTTCATGATGATACTTGCATTTAAAATAATAAACAACTTACGTTAATAAGAAAAAATTAACCTAGTAGAAAAAAAATAAGTACACTATATAAATGGACAGTCCACGAGAAGAAACTTTAACAAGTGAAAATTTTCTTTTATTTGCTAGTTATCACGGAAATCAAATGAGACCATACAATTTTATAGCTAGCAGCTTGCCAAGAATTCGGAAATCTGACATTATCACGCGGGTGTAGGAAAGGCAGACCCCTCGGGCCACACGCCGGATGGTGTGCTCGTCGGAGGGCAAATTGCTGTGCCGCCTGGAAGGGCGGGTGGTCAGGAGTTCAGGGAGCTGCAGGCGCTGACCTCTCACCCGCTGGAGTGCGTGCGCTCAGCCAGCCGAACTGGAAAGTCGCAAGCCCAGCGAGGGTCTGCCGGTGAGAGGCTGTGAATGGACTGGCGAGGATTTGGACGGGTTCTGTTTGCTAGCTTGTTGAAGAGTCAGGAAATCATGGACCACAGGTAAAGAGCTAAAAGGCAGCTGTTTTTCATGAACCCATTCCTGGTGTTTTTCAACCTTAAATACCATTGTCTCGTGTGGAAAAAATGTCTGTAGGGAGCTCGATGCTGTCCAGGTCCAGCACCAGACAAACAAGCAAGCAGACAGCAAACTCTGGACCTCGTGGTGATCGCTCAGCACGGGGCCTGCCCGCGGTGACCTTGTTTTGTGTTGTGTTGTGTTGTTTTGTTTTGTTTTATCAAAAAGGCTTTGCATGTCCGAATCTTTTCAGACAAGAAATACATCTTTTCAGTCAAGAAATATAATTTAGAATGAAAAAATAAAAACACCCTGAAAATTGTTTTTTAAAGTAACATAATGATAAAGGTTTTCGATAGGACCTGTTTCATTTCTGTAATGTTTTAGGTGAGTGAGAAGTTCCTTGTTTCTGTATTTTTCAGTGTTTCTATTGTTTCTATTTTTGTACACCATTTTCTTCCTCCAGAATGTTTGGCAGCTCCAGTCAGAGGCGGCTGCTAGTTTTTTTTAATTTATTTTTTTCCTAAGTGTATTTTATTTATTTCAAAGAGAAAAAAAAAACTAAACCAAAATTTAAAACATGTTAATTAGGCGGCAACAATGGTACATGCATTGCACGTTGTCATCCCCAAATCATTCAGCCAGAGTTCACGACATCTGCATTTAGTTGTCCGAACGATAGCAGCACAAATCTTTCTCTTCAGTGAACTCAGAGAAATCAGTAGATAACTGTCTTTAAGTATTTTTATTTACATGCACATATACCTGTACCTACACGTATACATGTGTCGTTTCTTTTGCAGCTGCTAATTGTAAGCAGGAAATTTAACCAGCTAATTTTCCAACAAACTTTGCACGGTGAGCCAAGGAGTGTGTGGCAGTGACAGTGGACAGAGCCTGTCTTAGGTCCACTCTGATGTCACTGTGTCTCTGTCACACTCTGACTTGGACTTTTCTCCATGGAAGGAAGCTTCACAGAATTGTTCTTCTCTTTTTGAAGTACCTGGACACATTCAAGGATAACACTGGAAAAGTTTTCAGGGATCTTTTTTATTTACACCGTTACATCACCCTTTTCTTGAGTATACAGAAAAAATTTTTAAAGTCTCTTTAATCAAATTATTCTTAACGATGAGGAAGAAAAGTAACATTAGCCCATTAGTGACCGAGGGACTCATTACTTAGAGTTTTCCAGAGGACAAGCACTGTCTGATGTCTACATGGGGCTACTGCTATGTCCACCTGGGGCCACTCGGATACAGTGGCCCCATAAGCTTGTGGCTAAGCAGGAAATGTATTGTTACTCTCCGGTGACTTCGCAGCTGAAAACAGCCTCCTGCTGGGCCACAGAGTTGCTGCACCCTAGAGGTCTGCAGACACCTCGTTCTTGATTACTGTCAGAGATGTCTCTGTCACTGGTTTTCGTACTTGCCCTCCTGCACCTGTCTCTGTTTTTAGCTTGTGCACTCTCTTACCTAGACCAAGAGGGTCAAGTGCAATAGTCAGCCATGCGACCCGATAGCTGCCGCCACGTCTCACCCACTGCTTCTCTTGATTAGATCCTTTCTCCTGTCCTTGATTCTGTCTCCTGCTTGTTCACTGCGACTCCTGATTGTGTAAAATCTACAGCTCATATGGCTAGTAAGAGGCCACATCAAGTGGTTGACCTAGAAACGGAATCCCAGGTGGGTAAGGGTCACCAAGGTGGAGAACCTGTGCTTCCTGCCGGCCAGTCCGGCGTCCCATTCCACCATCACCATGGTCTTGGGGACCAGGAACCAAGTGCTTCCCTGGTGGCGGGACCAATTTCACACAGGGTGAGAGGGACTAGAGGAGAAGGAGAAGGTGGTTATAGCATTTGAAATCTGGCAAGCAGAGTTCATGCCTGGCAAGGAAGGGCTGGTAATCAGGAAGTGACCTGTCACACTTGTGTCACGGCTTCTGTCTCAGCGAAACCTTTCAAGTGTGTCTGCCACGAGCTACATCATCACCTCTGTTCTCAGAATGTCGGCCCAGTGATCAGAAGAAATGGGGACTATTTTTAAAAGTAAATCAAAAGCTCCTGAGTACAACTAAATTGTGTGTGTGTGTGTCCCCATGTGCGTGCATATACTATACATGCACATGTATTTGAGTATGTCTGTTTGGTTTTTTTCAGTTCTCAAGAGTTCAGCCATGGAAGCAACTGAAGGAATATCTCTTCCCGTTCTCAGCTGCCACATGCTTAGTCGTTCCTGGGGTTATTGATAGAAATATTTTCAAGCTCACACTTTTCTCTTTGGCTCTATGGTTTATCAGAAAGAGGAAGCCATAATGATACAGGCAGAGGGGTATATAGTTTTCAGGTTAGAGGCCTGCTGTGGGTCAGCTTTGTGCTATTTCTTGAAAAAACTGTTGGGTTCACTCTGCATGCGTGACTGAACTGCTGTTGTAACGGGGATCCCACCTCTGTGCTTACCTTTCAGGTCTCACCAGCTTCCCCACGCATAGAAAGTGATGGAGAAGGTATGGAACACTTTGGTTCTTGAAGAGCAAGATATGTAAATGTACTCATTTATAGTCATAGAAACCAAAAGATAAAATATAAAAGAAGTATGCAAACTTAGTCCGGGTGTGGTGGTACGCTCCTGTAATCTCAACACTTGGGAGGCCAAGGCTAGCGGATGGCTGTGAGTTCAAGTGCAGCCTGGGCTGCACAGTGAAACTCTGCCTCAAGCCAGCCCCCCTCAAAGTTATGCAGACTAAGTAAGATACTTTTAAAGTTATTAAAATTTTCAGAGGAAATATTGTATCTCCTCCTGCTTTCAGGAAATGAAGAACAACACAGTGTTACTTCTGGCTAAAAAATGGTTTGGTTATGCAGTGTCCTTTTTTTTCTGAAATAGAAGCTAATTCTGATAAACTTAAAAAGACTCAAGAGTCTGGAAGATTTTCTTTATTTCTCATCATTTTAATGAATCACTCATTTTTAACAGATGATCCCATAGGCAAAATTTGCAGAAAGCTTGAAGATAAATGCCTTATTTTTTAATTCCATTATTTGAAAATGTTCTGAGAAACAAGTAAAAATGTCCTGTGCGAAGAATTTAGGACGCAGGCATACTCATACAGCATTTTTCTTCTAGAATAGTGCAGTTTGGGCTTAGAAACTATCCAGGTTACAAGTCTGGAGGAAAAATGAGAGCTCTTCACAGGGGGTCCAGTTACAAGATGCTGCGGAAGGCATGAACCCCTGGCCCTGAGTTCACGGGAGGCCAAGCTGTGTCCCGTCCGGGCCAGCGGCTGGCAGAGCTCTCTGTGCGGTAGTGTCTCGTTCCCAGGGTTCCACAGGCGGTTCTTACAGTGACAGCTTTCTTAGGCTTCCCACGCGGTAGCCCGGGTACTGACCTCTGTGTTGTTCAGTAGCAATGAAAGTGACCCCCAGAGGCATCAGAACAAAATGGGAAAGCTCTAGAAACATTCATACCGTTTTATGTAAAGCTGGGTGAGCTTTACAAATGAGACATCTAAAGACAGGAATTTGGAGGGGAGGAGAAGAGGAAGATGACACGTGAAGGTTGGGACTCTGTCACTGCCTACATACTTCCTGGGGGTCAATCGTGGCCTTTCCACCTTCCTTCCCTGAGCTCCTCACCCTGTCCCTAATTCCCCCCTCTCTGCTTTCAACACAGAGCAAGTGTGGCACTTCCTTGGCAAATGACTGGGACAGTCCAAGCAGCCGCCAAGATTTCGCCCTCTGAGACGTCCAGGACACTGATTACAACGGGCAGAGGTGTGCGTGTTTGCTGACTTCCTGCTCAAGCATCATTGTTCTCAAGCTTTCGGGGTGCACAATCCATAAATAAACACCCACACTTTGGAATTTGTCTCCTCTGGTGATTTATCAAGATGAGGGAAAGATGTGATTTAACTTCACAGTGGAAATTCGAAGCACTGCATTTTGGACCAGTTCTGATTTTCAGATCTGAAGGGACACAGTTGCTTTATTAGCTAGTGTATGTCTACCGTTAGAGTCACGAGTTTCACTAATAAAAGCGTGAGATAGCCCCGCTCCCGTTTCACTGCGTTGTGTCTCTCTGCGGTTCCGTGGCTGGGAAAGCGTGCTTTAGCCGCCCTCTGCCTCTCTAACAGCATCTGGGTAAATAGGCTCCCTTCACTGAGGCTCCTTCCTCTCCTGGTTCCTAACCTCTCCTTGGTTCTCAGCCCAGTAGGTGCTGTTCTACTGTCTAAGGTGACAAGTGCATCTGCAGGAGGAGCTGCCTCTCCCAGTGGGACAGCCCCCTCAGCGCTCTCTCCCTTGCCCCCAGTGCTCAGAGCTTCTTCCCTGCCGTGTAAGCCCCAGAAGCGGCCTCCTCCTCACTCCCCCAGCACTTACACTGAGCCCACCTGCTTGTCAAGCTCGCTGGCCTCTTGCTTTCTCTGTGGTCCTTGCCCCTCCTCTGCACCCGTCCTCTACTGGGACTCCCCGTGACAGCCTCCTGCCTCTGCCCCCTGCCTTTCAGCCCCAGCCTCTCCTCTGGGCTCCTTGCGCTCCTCCTCACCATGGTGGACCTGCGTGGGCTTTGCTTCCTTCACATACCCTGCACGCTTTGCAGGTCATCGTGCAAAGCACACCGCCTCATCCTGCTTTCCTCAGACGCCTTGTGAGTAAGCAGACTGAGCCACGTCACACTGTGCACGTCTCCCTTTATGCCCTGCGTGCCTGTTCCTCCTGACTCTGCTCCCGTGCTCTCCGTCACCAACATGGAAGACTTTGTGTGGCTGGCCGCGTCAGGTGTCCGGCAGGCCACTTCAGGCATTCCATGTCCTATAAGGTGACGCTGAGGAGTTTGAAACCTGCACAGGCTCATGCAGCTACTAAGTCCTGGACCACACTGAGTGCCCCAGACCACCTGGCTGTCATCAAGGGGGTTTCCCACCCGCTGTGTGTGCTGTGAGCAGCCTGGAAGCAGAGGTCAAGCTCTCCCGAAGGGTCCCTGGGGTGTGTGAACCCTCGCAGGAGACAGCAGTGTGTTCAGTCCGATTAACACACTGACTTTTACTACTGTGAAAGAACGGAGGACTCGGAAGAGAATAAGATTATCAAGGGGCAGACCGACGGACGTGGCCCTTGGCTTATTGGTCTCTTGAGAGGTGGAAGAGGCCGCGTGTGCAGCTCACACCTGTTACTCGCTGCCCTCCTCTGAGGGGTGCTGCTTAGTTAGGGAGCCTTCCTGGGGAGGCAGCCCTTCCCGTAGTTACAGCCACAAGATGTCACATGGTACATGAGTTCTCATGTTATATGTGTGTGGTTGTGAATTTTGAATTTGCTGGGGTTTTTTTATGTTTTGTTTTGTTTTGGGTTTGTTTTATTTATTTGGTCTTTATGTAGTCTGGACTGGTCTGAACTCACTACGTAGCCAAGGCAGGCCTCAAATTAGGAGCAGTTCTCCTGCTTCCCAAGTGCTAGGATCACAGATGTGCACTAGCATACTGGGCAAACTTTTCTTTTAAAAATCACCACGCTGCTATTACGACAATAATTCTCTTACAGAGCTGGGGATCAAGCCCCGGTCCTCCTCGTTACCATCCTTCCCGTGGTCTCACCAGCTGTGGCCCCACGCTGCTTCAGGATGGCTTCCAGAGTGGCCCATTCAGTCTTCACCGAACAGAGAAAGTGGGTGGGCTTTATAGGAAATGCTTCTGAAGGAAAGCCACCAAGAAATAAATCATTGTTAAAGCTGCCTAAAACAGGTCGAAGCCCCAGATCTACCCAAGGTTGTGTTTGCTGGGCTGTACCCTTTGAATGATCTTCTGAGGTTCCATGGGATCTGTAGTAATTTGTCTCTTTTCCGTCTTTATGGCATTAATTTGAGTTTTTTCTTTCTTTTCCCTGACAAGGTTGGCTAGAGGTTTATCAACTTTGTATATTCCCTCAAAGAACCAGCTCTTGGATTCATTAATTCTTTGTATTGTTTTCTTAGTCTCAATTGCATTAATTTCTACTCTGATCTTTGTAATTTCCTCTGTTCTATGGGCTTTGGGCTTGACTTGCTCTTCTTTTTCTATTGAGATGTAACATTAGGTTGTTTGTTTGTTTCATTCTCTTGATGTGACTATCTATGCTATATATTTCCTTCTTAGGAGTGCTTTCATTGTGTCCCACAGGTTTCAGTATGTTGTGTCTGCATTTTCATTGAATTTGTAACCCATCGGTTGTTCCTGAGGTTGTTATTTAATTTTCATATGTTTATGTAGGGTTTTCAGTTTCTTTTGCCATTAGCCTCTAAATTCAGTGCACTATGGTCAGATAATATGCATGGGATAATTTGAGTCCATTTGCACTTACTTAAGAATGTCCCATGGGCTAATGTATGGTCTGTTTTAGAGAATGCCCCATGCACAGCTGAAAACAATGTGTACTCTTGATGTGGTTGGGTGGAACACTCTGTAAATGTTTACTAAGTCCATTTGTACACAGGTTTGTTTCAGCTCTGCTATTTCTTTGCTGACTTTTTGTCTAGATGTATCTCTTTGTGACAACGGGGTATTAAGGTCCCCTATTACAATCGTGTTATTGTGTATTTGGTTTTTCATATCTATTAGTATTTGTCTTATATAATCGAGTGCTCCTATATTTAGTGCATGTATGTTTTCTGATTGTTAGTGCTTCCTCTTTAATTTTTCCACTAATAAGTATGTAGTGACCTTCTTTATCTCTTTTGATCATTTTTGGCTTGAAGTTTGCATTGTCTGCAAACAGAATAACTACCCTTGCTTTTTGGAGGGGTTCCTGTTGTATGGAATATTGCTTTTCACCCTCTGACTTTTAGTCTATGGGTTTCCTGTTGAGTCAGATGTGTTTTATGTATACAGCGTATTGTGGGATCCTGTTTCTTGATTCATTCTGTCAACCTATTTGTTTCAACTGGTGAATTGAGGGCATTCACATTGATGGCTATAACTGATATCCACTGGCTCAACTTTGTCATGTTATTTTACCACTGTTGATTTTCTGCTTTTCTCCCTTATTTAATTGCTTGCCCTGTCTGATGGTTTCTTTTTGTTGTTGTTTTGGAAATTATAGTCATCTCTATCTCTATCTAGTATGTCTTTTATTACTCTTTCTAGAGTTTGTTTAGTGGACATGAATGTCTTCAGTTGCTCTTTGTCGTAGAAGTATCTTATTTCTCCATTAATTTTCAAAGAAAGTTTTTCTGGGTACATCAGTCTGGGTTGAAAGTTGTTGTCTTTCAGGACTTGAAATACCTCACTCCAAGCTCATCTTGACATGAGGGTTTGTGCTGAGAAGTCTGCCGTGATTCTAATGGGCTTTCCTTGATAGGTGAGTTGTGTCTTTTCTCTAATAGCTTTTAGTATTCTGTTTTTATGCTGGGTTTCTGGGATCTTAATTATTATATGTCTGTGTATAGATTTATTTTGGTTATGACTGTCTGGCATTCTGTATGCCTCACTTACCTATTTATCTGATTCTTTTCCCATGTTTGGGAAATTTTCTGCTATTCTCCAAATAGTTTACCAACATTTGCATTGACTCCTGCTTCTTCATTGATGCCTATTAGTCTTATATTGTTTCTCTTTGCACCATCTTAAAGCTGTTGAGTTGTCATTTCATGCTGTCATGTTTTTGTTTGTTTGTTTGTTTGTCTGTGATACTAGGGATTGAACTCACGACTGTGCGCTTGCAAGGCAGGCACTTATGCTGATGAGCTAAATAAATTCCTGACCCAGTGTCATGTTATTTTTAAAAGTTCTTTCCTTTCATGATCGCTAGCTGTGATCCTGTCCTGAGGTCTGAAATTCTATCCTCAGCTTCATTCAAGCAGTTCTGGCAGCTTTCAATAGAATTTTTTATTTCCTGGATAGCTCTGATTTTGTTTCAGGCACTCTAATTCTTTTCTATATTGTTCATTCAAGGTCTCCATTATCTTCCCGTGCTCCTGAACTTTCTTATCTATGTCTTCTCTAGCTATGCTGAGCAACTCCTTTATTGCCATTTCTTTCTTTCTTTACGTGATTATAGAGGAAATCAGGTTATTACTAATATGATTTCCTCTATAACCTGTTTCTTTATTTCACTTGATGTCTTTTCAGAAATTTCAGGTGTATGACTTCTAATGTCCTCTATTTTGATGTCTTCTGTACTTAATCCTGATGGACTGGATGTTTGAGAAACAGCATTTTGCTTTTTCATTTTGTCATTTTCACCTCTTGGGTTAATATTTTGGTCTTATCAATCCCACTAGTCTCAACTGTCCATCATGTGTGTCTTAGGGTCCTACTGTGTGGTTGATGTTTGTCCAATTGCTGGGTCCCTCAATGAAGGGGAGGGGCAGTCACTTGAATTCCACCTGCAGGGCCTGTTGGATGAGTCCTATGTTCTTCCTCGGCTGACTTCCCGAGGAGTATTGATATAATTCAACCTTTAGTTCCTGCTGTTACTACAGTTTCAGGATGGTCCAGTCCACCAGATCTACCTGGCTATAGTGTTTGCCTGGCTATAGCTGGGCCCTTACTGTGTCACTGGATGCCTTGTAAGTCCTTTTGATTTCCTCCAGGTTGGGGGAGGCCTTATTGGCACTGTCCTCAACCCGCATGATGTCCTCTGTGTGGATGAAGGACTCACTCTCACTCTTGCCAGGCTCGCCAAGGTCCTACAGCTGGGGGAGGACTTTGCTTTGCTCCAGTTGACCCACTGAGGTCCTTGATTTGAGGAAGAAACTCACCACACTGTTGCAAGCCCACTGAGGTCCTCTGTGTGGATGAGGGGTTGCTGAGGCTCCCACCAACCCATCAAGGTTCTGCAGGTGGTAGAAGGGGTCGCTGATTGTGAGCTGCTGTGACCTTTTGTGGCAGGTAGAAGGTGACCAACAATCCTACTGGTCTCTAACATCATGAGGCATGGAGGAGGAAAAACTAGCAGTCCTGCTGGCCTACTAGGTCAGTGGGGTGAGGAGGAGGTATGACCACAAGCCCCTAAGTCCGTGGGGTGAGGTGGGGGTTGAGGCCAACAATCCCACTGATCCGTACGTCCCTGAGGCAAGGATATAT